CTTCAGTTTGCTCACAATATTGCTCATCAATCAGCTATTGGCATGTCTCCCTTTATGGTGATGTATGGCTATGAGCCTAAGTCTCCTGTGAATTTGAATTTAGCTTTGGTTCGGGTTCCTTATGCTTATGATTTCCTGGAGGATATGCAAGACAAGCTTGAGTTGGCAAAATTGAACATGAGGCAAGCTCAAGAGCGAGACAAAAGATTGGCTAATGAATATCGTCGTTATCAAAAGTACAAAGTTGGTGATAAGGTTTTCTTTAAGCTGTTGTATGCACAACAGTCTCTAAAAGGAGGTGGCAGTGCTAAGTTGTTTCCATGGTATTATGGACCTTGGATAATTTTACAGTGTGTGGGGGATTTTACATACACTTTGGACTTGCTAGTTAGTTTGAAGATTCATCCAACGTTCCATGTGAGCAAACTTAAAGCATGTTTGCACTCTGGTGATATCGTGGATCAGTCCATCATCCAGGTTCCAAAGATTGATGCAAAGAAGGCTGGTCCAGCCAATATTCTTGCTCAAAGATTGGTGAAAATACACCAGAAGACAACTAAGGAGTTGTTAATTCAGTGGAATGGTTATTCCATGGATAAAGCTATATAGAAAACTAAAGATGACATGAAGAGAGTGTTTCCGAGTTTTGGTTATGACTTGGATGACATTCCTGAGGAAGGGGAGAATTGAATTCTATAGCCGTATTGCTATATGATTTGAGCCATTTATTCTATTCTCATTCTTTTGTTTCCATGACCGTATTGTCATGTGAGAAAGCTGTATTGCCTTCTTTCTTTTATAGTTGTTTGTCACGATGTTGGTGTTGCTATTTGCACATTTTTTCTCCATGGCCGTATTGCCTTGAACTCCCTTCATGTGAGGCTTGTTTAGCTTCTCGAAGTTGTTATATAATGCTAGGTTATGAGGGAGGGGACACAAACTATATGAATATTCTAAGAATATTCCATGGCCTATGGGATTTAAGGCCATAATGCCTCAAGGGTTGGGAGGCTAGCCTAGGGTTCACTCTCTTGTTCGTTTCACTAGGCAGGATTAGAAAGAAAAACTTTCTAAAAAATTTCTAGCTTCAAAGATGACATCATCCTTTAAAACCCTCTCCAGAATCTGCACGACAGAAAGTAAGTTTCACCAATCAAAGTTGCACCATACCTTTGGATAAGAAGATTTTACAAAATAATGATTCTTTTTTAGAACTAGTTTTACTTTGCCATAGTTGAGAGTCAACTCTTTGCCATTCCATCACTGTAATAACTATCTGAGACTCAAGACCAATGGAGAGAGCTGCATACAAAGAATGTGGTGTGAGATTGTACTCGTGCATATGTTCTAGCCTGGAATAAAGTTTCAAAGAAAATACTTGAGTGTAAGAACTTCTAATATCAGCGAGACCTGAAGCTTATTGACACACCAGCTTGGCAGTCACAATGAGAAAGTCATATGCTTGCTTGTGTAGCAGAGAAAATGTCCTATCAGGTCCAACCCAGAGTGGTCTCTTCTTGTGGTCTGGCTTTAGCTCGAACTTGCTAAAATCCATTACCAGTATGGGGATAAAGAAGAGGAAGAGCAACACAGTTCACAACAAATCCTATCCTTCTAAAGGTTAAAAGGAACTAGAAAGAGAAAAAAAAAAAAAGAGAGTAAAGAGATGAATGCTCTCTTCTTTTATGCCGTGATCAACAAGAATTTTGGGGGGTGGGTGGGGGCTTGACCAAAATTTCATCAAGGAAGAGATCTTATGGTGACTGTTAAATCAACCTTAACTAGAGCTGTTATACATTAAGACTGAATTGTACAAAATATTTCACTAAGGTTTTTGAAATGGAGAAAAGAAAAAAACTTAAAATGATAGGGCAACATTGAGAGTAGCACCAGCCAAAGTGGTAGTAACAGTCACAGTGGTAGTAGCTAAAGGAACATCAACTGATTTAAACACAACAATTGGAGAAAAGAAAGAAGAGTGCTGGCAATTTATTTCTATAAAGGTTTAACATTTGGTTAAGTCATTTAAATCGCACAATGAGATTTTGAAGAGTTTTTTGAAAAGGTGTGCTCTATTAAAATTTATATGGAAGTTACATTAAAATTAGTATTAATTCAATAGTGACAACATCATGTGCTAGAAGATTGGTGTGGTTCTTTTGGGTTATGTTTGAGTGGTTTACTTTCCCATGCGAAAAAGAATCAATTACTCTTACCTGTCCAAACATCCTCCAAAGCAGCCTCAATTCTCTCTCAAACCCCTCTGGTGGTGCTGGTCGGCTTGCGAAGGCAAGGATCTAGCTCTTCTTCTGGCATTGCGTTGGCAATGTCAAAATTCATAAGGTCTTTTGATCTGCTTCTGTGACACTGGCCGAGTTGCGAAGTTCAATTGAATGTTAGTCAGTCGTCACGATTAATGTTAAAATGTCTGAGCCCAAGTTCACACAAGTGCCCGACAGAAAATTACCATTTGACAATTGAGATTATAGAAACAGCTTTTGTGTTAGGAAGTGCAGATTATTTTCTGATACGATCTCAAAACTGTGGCACTAGGAACGTCAAATTTCAACTACAGTCGCTTTGGTGCAAGTGACCGAGAAGGTAACCAGACTTCCAGTGAGGCTCATAGGGGTGCGGACAAAGATGATTCTTTGAAATACCTCTTGTTTTCCCGTTGGCGAGAAGTAGAGAGTCCGGAGAACTTGGAAGAAGAGCAGAAGAAAGAGGAATTCCTCCAGGGAAGTCAAAAGCTTCAATCTGACAAGTCTAGCTTCTCACCAGACACAAGAAACTTTGGACTTTTTCTAGAGCTTTTAAACCACTTTACACGTTTCTGCCATGGATCATCACAGCGTTTCCCTTCGGGCTCGTGGTGGTGTTGATCACTTCATTCGCCAGCTCCACCGCACAGCAATTCTCTTCCTTCTGCAACAAGAGATGCGACTTTGCACTTGTTCTGGCAGCCCCATTTGCAACCTTGTTAACCAGACTTGCGATGGCAATCCAGGAGATACCCCTTTATTGCCCAATTCCCGATTGTGAGCCTGCCCAGAGCGGGTAGAATGCACAATTCAGTATCCTTTTTTATTTATGGTGAGCCCCATTTGCTTATTTGGATTTGCATGCCACTTAAAGATTCTCAATAAGATAAGAAAAAATAAGATTACTATCTTGAGCATGATCTAAAGAGAATGATGAAAAAAAAGAAAATATAAAAAGGAATACAAAACACAATGAAGGAAAACTTAAACCAAGCTTAGGTTATATACTTATAAATCCACTACCAGTTAATAACATCTACTAATTATAATTTAACGTTACTAATTTAAATTTAGTCGCTCAATATTTAGGGCTGCGTGGCACAAAGCACCAAGTGAGCGTGGCAAAAGAGTAACCACGTAAGAGAGGGTGCATTTCTCCCCCAGAGCTTCATCTACTTGAATGCCACCGCCCACAACCCAGGTATCAGTACTTCACTTGCTCACTGTGCCCCTCACGACGGTCACGATGTGAGTCTTGTCCTTGTCGATGAGCTTTGAGAATCCAAAGTCGGCGGGCGCCCATGTGGTGCCCATCTTCTTATCCAGCAGGATGTTCTGGGGCTTGATGTCGAGATGGAGTTGGCATCCTTCGTGAAGATATGTGAGCCCTCGGGCAACATCAAGCGCGATGAAGAGCCTGGATGCCCAAGCCAGGCACTTGTCCTTGGCGAATCCAGCGAGTAGACGAGCAAGAGTGGAGGCAAAATCCAATCATCTTGACGAAATTGAGGTTGTGAATGCTGCCGATCGACATCACGTCATGATCGACATCACGCCTTGGCAAATCCATGAGATTGCCGAGATCAAGCGGCCCCACGGCAGCTTGGAAGTCCGTCGCAAGAACTTCCACCACACTAGCCTTAAGAGCGCCAAGCTGATGAACGGCAGCAATGGCAATCTGTCTAGAGTTGGAATTCTCGCCCTTCCAGCTCCAACCGACAGCCAAATCGAAGTAGTGCTTCTCACACCACTCGCGTCCCTCCCACCACCTCGATGCCGTGAAATTAAAAGGTTCCGAGTGCCTCCATTCTCGTGTCACGCACAAGACCGACGTGTTCCAAAACCTGTCCCGGGACCATGGGGGTATGGTGGAATCTTTGGTTCCAACCTGAAGTGTGCCGGGATTCGCGACAAGCAGCACCCCACGATTTGGAATCGTCCTTCTGCTGTTTGCAGCATAAAGGCCGTGGAGTGTTCCTTGGACTCGGACTCGCAGATGGACGTCGTGTTCCGCTTTCAACAAGCTCCACAATGGAAACTCCGTAGTCTACGACCAACTGCTCAAAGCCAAGGATGGTTTCTTACCAACTGCTCAAAGCCAAGGATGGTTTCTTTCTGAGAGGCTTTCGAGCACATCGTCCAGATCGGGCTATGATCAGTTGGATCCCTTGCAGCGACCAGTTGTGATGAAGATTCTCAAGGGGTGCCATGGATGTGTTGGTGTTCCCTCAGCTGGAGAGACCTGCTGCACAGGCTTCGTCCCTCCTCATGAGCAGCAGTGCAAGTTCAGGAGTATAAATCTCTATCTCAGATAAGAAGGCGTTTTTACAAACAAGGAAACTTTGCAAGAAGAATTTATTCTATAGTGAACTCTTGGAGCAAGATAAAAATTATTTTTTTGGGTTGCTTAAGCAAACCTGTACATAGATTACGATGGTAATGGATATACCTAAAATATACTTGAATATTCTAGAATATTCTAGAATATTCTAGAATATTCTACCATCTAACGGTTGTTATTCATTTAGATTAATTTTGTATTTATAATTTATAAACTTTCTTAAACTTTTCAAGTATATTCTTTTTTATTCTATCATATGCAATAAGATTAATTATAATTATAAAATTTACTTGATTAATTGAATTAATAAGTAAAAATAACACTACTATTAGAAAATCAAACATTGCAATTTATTTCTTTTTCATAAAGAAAATTCTCTTATATAAATACTGTTTTAATCACCCACCGAATTTGTTCTTGTAGTCTGTCCACAAATCCTGTAAGCTCTTTCCAAGCAAATCACTGAACACAGACTCACTCCACGCATCATTTGCAAGCCTCGCATTCATCTGCCACACAAAATCTCCCCAGAGGCTATTGCAGTAATCGAAGAAATAGGCAGTAACATCGTAGCCCTGGTCCCAGCGATCACCACCACCCGGCTTCACCCAGTGAGATGGAGCGAGCCCGGCTTTGAGCCGGACATAATCAGCCACTCCTTCAGTCACTCCACTGGGAGTTCCTTGCCCAAAGTACTGCCAGACGTGAGCCATCTCGTGGTATATTACCCCTGTGATCCCCTCGTAGTTATCGGCAGATGGAGCATTAAACTGGATCTGGAACTCGCCGGGACACCGTCCCAAATGTGATAGCAACCGCACCCTGCTGGAGCTGCTTCTCGACCGTGAAGACAACCTTGGTCACTAGTTTTGTGGGAACACTGTCGAGACCATTGTGCAACAGCGGCGGGATGAAGTTGATTGCATCGCCCAGGACTTTGAAGGCCCCGGAGATCCCCATCACCGAGTTGAAGCGCTTGCCACCGTCGGTGTCCTCGGCATTGTTTGCTCCGACCAGGACAATGTCTGCATGGACACGGGAAGTGATAACGAGAACAAGGGACAAGCAGCTCAAAAGATGTGCAGTGGAAACTCTCAGACAAGTTTGCGTCATTGTTAATCGCAAAAATCAATATCGTGTGAGGAACGCAGAAAGTTGGCTCATGAAGGGGTTTATAAAGTGTTTGTACGCGGTTATGGCTACGAAGTCAACGTATTTTGACTACGCGGATTTGGCTTCGACACGGCACTATATGGAAAAATGCTTGAGCCCGGGTTGACTTCTAGTGTGTGAGACTAGCGTGATGACCAACTACACCACCCAGACTGTGACACTAAGTTGGTTTCCACAACTAATTTACAATGAAGCTGATTGCTTTTCCAGAGATATTTCTTGTGGGACGTTTTAGAGTTTCAATATAGTGGTGTAACATTACAAACTGGTGGAGCTGAAGGAGGATTCAGGTGGTCGCAAGCTAAAGTTTCTCGAACTACCATCACTTGAAGGTGGTGGCAACTCAAGAACATCTATGCTACCGTCGAGCATATCCAATACGTTTCTCATGGAGGGTCGCATTGCTGGTTCGGCTTGGATACACCACAATCCAATCTTCAGGTATCTCTCGGCATCCTTGAAATCCAAGCCACTGCTGCTGGCGATATCGTCGTTTAGATTATTGACAAAGAGCTTCTCGTCAATGAGCTCCACAACTTTGCCACTGTAAAACATGCTCAATGCGGCTGTACCAAGGAAGTGCACTGTCGGTTGTGAGGAGGAGGAGGAGGAGGATGTCAAAGGATGAAATTCCAAGGCCCGCTTGGAGGTTACAAGCTCAAGCAGCACAATTCCAAAGCTGTAGACGTCGGTCTTGTCCGTGACTTTGGTATGGAGCCACTCGGGCGCCATGTATCCGGGAGTTCCTCGCATGACAGTCACCACCTGACTCTTTCCTCGCTCGGCGAGCTTGCTCAGGCCAAAGTCGGAGATCCTGGCTCGCAAGTTCTCGTCCAGGAGGATGTTTTGCGGCTTGATGTCCAGGTGAAGAACTTGCTCCCGGCATCCCTCATGGAGATACGTGAGTCCTCGAGCAACATCTATCGCGATTGAGTGTCTCTGGTTCCAGTCCAGCAGGATTCCGCCAGCTTTGCCATCATTGTATTCGGTGAAGATCCACTTGTCCAATGAGCCATTGGGCATAAACTCGTAGACAAGCAATGCAGCTGGTCCCTGGATGCAAAATCCCCGGAGCCTTACCAAGTTGAAGTGATGGATGCTTCCAATGGACATCACCTCGGCCTTAAACTGTGACTGTCCTTGTGTAGAGCCTTCTATCTCTACATCCATTTTCTTGACAGCAACCAGGCTTCCATCTGCAAGCTCCCCCTTAAAGACGGATCCAAATCCGCCAGCTCCGAGCATGAACTGTGGAGCAAAGTTTCCAGTCGCTGCTCTCAAGTCGTGATAGCTAAACTGGTGTGGAAGTAACTTATCGAGCCTCATTCCATCCATGAGCGCTTGCTCATCTTTTCTTCGCCTCTCAAGAGATCTCCTCCATCGCCTGGTTGCTGTGAAGGCTGCGACACTAACCAACACCACCACCACAGCACCCACTATGCCAGCAATTAATCCCAGCTTGCGGTTCATGCGTCTTGGAGACGGTAATTGTGGAGGATTACTGTTAGTAGTGATACTCCAGGTGATATTTTCTACGATTCCAATGCCTGGATCATACCCAAGCTGCCTCCACACTTGCTCGTTCGCTGCCACGGCATTTGGAGCACAGGGCTCCGTGAACGAAAAATTGCCGAGACACCCTCCCCCGGAGTAGCATTGAGCCACGACTCTGGCCACCACAGTTCGTCCATTTGGAGCTAAAACTTGGATATTCGTGGAGCACAAGCTTCGGTCTTGGTTATACCACCCAGTGGCCACCGCCGCCATGAGATCAAAATCCCACCCGAAGGACGTGCACGACCTGAGAGAACCCGGATTTGAGAGATTGAATCTTGTGACATATAAGACGGCATTGTTGGTCTCTTGAAAAATTGGAGAGCAAGTGAAAGTCCTGTAAGCCAGGCCTGGGACGCAGCAATTTGGGCAGTCTGGAGCGATGGTGTCATTGAAAACAAAGCTGGAACTGGGCTGGCAAACGTCTGAATCGCTAAGGTATGGCTCGGATCGATTGCTCGCTTGGTAGCAGGACGAGTTCCGGAGTGAACGGTTGCCGCCGAGCATGGGCTCCGGGAAACAAAGGGACCCATTTTGGCAATCGGTCGACGAAGAACATACCTGTTGTTGGGCTTGCGAGTAGTGGAAGCTCTTTGCGCTACATGCTAGGACGATGATGAAGCACAGGAGTACCTCCATAGCTGCAGACGACCACTGTTCATAGCGACGACCATGGGATTATATGATCAAAACTTCAAATAGATGAGATCGGAGAAGTCGCATCAGTGCTTTTTCTATGGTCATGTTTAGTGTGAAGCTCTGGCAGTATCCTGATGGCAAGTAAGAAAAGTCAAACAAGGATCCTTGGAAGGTTCATATAGCGCTTCCAATTCTTAAAGTTTTTCATTGACTTTTAGATAGAGCTTTTAAACTAACTTACCTGGTCCAGGGCAAGCTCCAGCCATGGATCGTCGCACCACTTTCTTCGCGCTCGCGATGATCTTGATCTCTTCACTCGCCGGCGCCACCGCACAACAGTTCTCCTCCTCCTGCGGCACGAGATGCGACTCTACGCGCGATTGTTCTGGCGGCCTCGTTTGCAATCCTATTAGCAAGACCTGCGATGGCGATCCATCAGCTAGCACTCTTTCCTGCCCAATTCTCGGCTGCGAGCCCGCCCAGACCTTCGTCTACTCGAATGCCACCGCCCACAACCCAGCACTTTGCTTCGACAACACCACCTACCAGTTCTTCAATTGCTCGCCGCAAGAACAGCCTCGCAATTTCGCGGCATTCTACTTCATCGAGCTGGAGGAGTCCCCTACGAGTTGCAATCGCTCGACGCCGCCAAGGAATTCGGAGCTCCTGGCGTCCATGTCCACGGGGTGGTTCGCCAATGGATCGTCGTGCCACAGAGAGATCGTGATCACGGCGGAGAATGGGCTGAGCGTGACGGCGACAGTGATCGACCAGTGTGGATCGAACATCGGGTGTACCGCAGACACTGGATTCTATGGGCCGTGCTCGCCCAGATCGCTGGGAGGGACGAGAGCGGTGTGGGAAGCGCTGGGGCAGACCTACTTTGATAATGTGTTGGCGGTCACTTGGAGCTGGAAGGGCGAGGATTCCAACCTGAGAGATCGCAATATCGCCATTGCCGTGGTTTCCAGTGGAGCGATCGTCGTCTTGGCGCTCCTAGGGCTAGTGTGGTGGAAGTTCTTGCGACGCTCATCCAATGCTGCCGTGAGGGAGCGGCCGCTCGATCTCGGCAACCTCGCGGATTTGCCACGGCAATTCAAGTACCAGGAGGTGTATCGAGCGACCAAGGGATTCCAGAGCAAGGTGGGACAAGGAGGATTTGCGAGTGTGTTCAAGGGAACGTTGCCCGGCGGGGAGATTGTGGCAGTCAAGAGGATCGGAGGTGGAGTGCGGCAGAGGGACAAGCAATTCAAGGCGGAGGTGATGTCGATTGGCAGCATCCATCACCTCAATCTGGTCAAGCTGGTTGGATTTTGCCTGCATTCTCCACACAACTTGCTCGTCTACGAGTTCCTCCCGAATGGCTCGCTAGATGGATGGATTTTCGCCAAGGAGAAATGCCTGTCCTGGGGATCCAGGCTCTCCATCGCGCTCGACGTTGCCCGGGGGCTCGCCTATCTCCACGAAGGATGCCGCGAGAAGGTACTCCATCTAGACATCAAGCCCCAGAACATCCTCCTGGACGAGAAGATGGGCGCCAAGATCGCCGACTTTGGGTTCTCCAAGCTCATCGACAAGGACGAGAGTCACGTCGTGACGGTCATGCGAGGCACGGTGGGATACATGGCTCCCGAGTGGCTCCACTCTCGAGTCACGGAGAAGACTGACGTCTATAGCTTTGGGGTCGTCCTTCTCGAGCTCGTTTGCGGCATGAAGGCCGTGGAGTGTTCCTCGGGCTCGGGCTCACAGATGGACGTCGTGTTCCTCGGACAAACCGCTTTCAACAAGCTGGACAGTGGAAACTCGATGGACTTGGTGGACGATCGGCTGCTCAAAGCCGAGGATGGTGGTGGTTTCTCCTTGACTGGCTTTGAGAACATCCTCCGGATCGGGTTATGGTGTACGCAGGAGGATCCCTTGCAGCGACCAACGATGTCTGTGGTGGTGAAGATGCTCGAGGGTGCCATGGATGTGTTGGCATTCCCTCAGCTGGAGAGACCCGCTGCACAGGCTTCTCCACTCCTGGCGAGCTCGGGGCAATTCTCCATCTCGGTCTCAGGAAGAGATCGTCTCAACTCTCGGATGGAGCTCGATAAAAGCTAGCGTGTCAGCTTTCGAGTGTTTGGCCTGGATGAATGGAGTGTTTTGCTTTCCTGCTAGAATTCTTTGACCTTCGCTCGCGTGATCTTTCTCTTCTCTACTTTCTTTATTCTTGGCTAGTTAATGGAGCCACAGTTATATCGGATCTCTCCTCCAGGTTTGTTCACTTCCAGCAGGCTCATCTTGAGCATCGCGGCTGCAAACTTCTGGAAGAAGATCTCTGTGTTGTTAGCGAACTGGACAACAGTAGCTCTCGTGATGGGATCATTCACCAGCGTCTGGTCCGATGTAAATATACTTTTGCTTCGAAGGATGTCCCTGTAGTAGACTGTGTTCACCTTGGAAGTGGAAGGCTCCGACTCCATGGGAACCGTGTCATCGCTTGTGGCTGACTGGGGGCATTTTGCCTTGAGCTCTCTCGCATATGTTGGATCCAGTGATGGATCCTGGTCACCATTTCCCGTGAAGTTGTACAAGCGATCCTTGAACGAGGAGCAATGCGATTCTCCAATGGTGTGAGCTCCTACAAAAGAAGGTTTTTCTCAAGAGTTAATCGGAGTTTTCGTGACAAGTTTTACCTGAGAGAGTTGCGAGCTCTTCGAGAGTGAAGTTCTTGGCTGCAAAGTTGGCCTTAAGCTCGCTGACGTTCATTGTTGGCAAGGGCAAAAATTGTGTAGCTCTCGAAGCTTTAGAGACTCGACCGTCTAGTCGTCCGCCTGGGAGAGCATAAAAAGGCCCTCCATCCTAGCACAAAGAAGAAAAGTAAACTTTGGAGTGATTTAAAAAATTTTCTTACCAGCCGGACTCCATCGCGAGCTGCAAACTGGATGATATCAGCACACGAGACTGTGTTTGGGCACAAGATCTCGAGCTGAAACTTTGCAGCGTCTATCAACTCAAAGCCCTCCAGAAACTTATTCACGGACGCATTCATCTCGGCTAGATTTCCCGGCGTGGACTTTATCAAAGCTGAAGCATCGCATCCCTGTCAATGAAAGAGTTCACAATCACTATCAAACCCGACTTGAATGAATTACCTCTACAAAAGCGTCGTGGAAAGCCAATCGAGTAACGTCCGAGGTGATACCGGCATGCAGCTGCTTAGCAATAACCATGGTTTGATAGATAACTTGCTCGGCTAGCGGACAGCTCTTGGAGTAATAGTTGTACGCCATACCCGCCGGAAGAGTGTCTTCCGAAAAGAAAAGTCTAAAACCAAACGCCAGGAAGAACACTAAAACCAAACAGCCATACGTCATTTGTGGCAAACTACTTGGTTATCAGCTTCACAAAAAGCCTTTAAATTAGAAAATCATATTAAATCAGCCACAAGACCGTCATTTTATGGTTATCGGCTTCACAAAAAGTCTTTAAATTAGAAAATCATATTAAATCAGCCACAAGACCGAACTATAAGAATCATTTTATGGTTATCAGCTTCACAAAAAGTCTTTAAATTAGAAAATCATATTAAATCAGCCACAAGACCGACTGACTGTAGCTAGGTGCAACTATATGAATCAATGTTGTAAGCATGACTTACGCCATAAGACTTTCAGAAAACAATGATTGATGTGAAGCAAGGAAATCGAGTAGTACACATGATGCTTTGGAGGGACACAGTACAAGTTGAAACTTTCAGAACAATCAGTGGTGTCAAGCAAACGAATCAAGTAAAAGCTTCCTACCAGACTTTCACGCTTTCCGGATGCTTCGGAGGAACATTTGCTAGCCTGATATCTAGAAAAACCGAGCAAACAAGAATGAGAACCCGTAAACTCTAGCTTGATCAGTATAGACTATATAAACAAAAAAAAAAAGTTCCCTACCATACTTTCTCCACGTTTAAAATCGACTCGATCATCTTGTCAATGCCGAAACAAGGTCACACAAAGAGCTCTTGGAATTCTCCATTTGCCATCTGACAGAGCTGGTTGTAGATCGACATATCTAGCAAAAGAGAAGACAAAAAGAATCGAATGAGGAATCCGCAAAGAGAAAGAAATGTGGGTACCAAAACCGCCTCCAAAGCTCGTGCACGTCTCCGCCCGGATGCTCCTATCGCCCTCCGCAACGCCGATCACCTCCACGAACTCGGTGAGCGCTCCCACAGGAGGCGCCCCCATTTGCTTGACAGTCACCTGGACATTGTCCGCCGTCTGCCCGACGATCACACTGCCCCCGGCTTCCATCCTCGACACCCTGATCACGCAGCGCACTCGCCGCCCAGGGTAGCGCCTCAGCAGCTCGCCATTCACCATGGGGCACGGCGACGATGTGTCCATGCCTCCAACGCTAGAACCCTAAAATGTGAGCAAGAGCCCTAAAAAATAGAAAAAGAGAAAAATTTGCCCCCAGCTGGCTGTGGAGCCGGGAGCCGGGACAAGGCCGGCAGCTCGGGAGATTTTAGGGATCGATCGACCGATGAGCGGGGGATAGATAGCCGGCGCGCGGAATGGGAATCATCTCGAGGCGCGTGCTGCCGCTGTGTGGGCATTTGTGCGTGTGCTGCCCCGGTTTGAGGGCTAGATCGCGGCAGCCGGTCAAGCGCTACAAGAAGCTCCTCTCTGATCTCTTTCCCAAGTCCCAGGTGAGTTTCTTCTTCTGGATTTCCCAGCTCTGGTGATAGAATTTTCTTTTTCTTTCGCTCACAGGCCGAGCAACCGAATGATAGGAAGATCTCGAAGCTAACGGACTACGCTGTGAAAAATCCCTTCCGGATACCAAAGGTTTGGGGGAATTCTTCTCTTTTATCTGTAGCTCATTTTCCTTTGCGAATAGATTGCCAAGAACTTGGAGCTTCGAGGCTACAAGGAGCTGCGACACGAGCACCATGGATCGGTCAGGGTTATCATGCGCACATTTTTTAAGCTCTTCTCGACGTGCAAAGATCAAATGTGAGCAGCGAGAGAGTATCTTTGTGTCAGCTACTAACATGTCAGATGCGCAGGCCTCTACTGGCCGTCAGTGCCTTAAACATGATTCATGTGCTACTGGAGCAACAAAATGATGAAATGCGTGTTCTTGGATGCGTCACAGTCGTGGAATTTATTTACCAACAGGTAGCAAGCGCAGATCTTTTCGTTTTGATGGCGTTCTTAAAGGCTTGGAACAGGTTGATACCACGTATATGCACAACCTGGATAGTTTTATACCGAAGTTTTGCGCTCTTGCCCGAGAAACTGGACCCGAGCCGAAGCGAAGTATCTTACGAGCTGCAGGACTGCAAGCTCTTTCCGCGATGGTAAGAGATTTCTGGCTGTGGTCTATCCTGTGTCCTATGATTTATATCTTGTCTACTTCCAGTTATGGTTTATGGGGGAGTTTTCTCACATGCCCTCCGATTTTGATGAGGTGAGGTCTATTTTGTGCTTTAAGATCTTGTGTTTTGACGTCAAACGTGCAGATCGTGCGTGCTGTTTTGATGAACTATGAAGCGACTGTGACCGCAGTAGAAACCGAAGGCGGTGAAAGGGAGCCGGCACAAAATCTTGTGAAGGGGTTCCTGAAAGGAAGTGTTATGCGTGATGCACTGGCGCGAATGTCCTTCAACATGGAAAGTATTCGCATCAAGTATCCCAGAAACCTCACCAAGTATGTATCGATCGTTCTTGAGTTTGTTTCTGATCATCTTTTTGTCTGTTGCCAGAGAAGAATCTGAAACGCCTAAGGTGTGGTCGCAGATCTGTGTCCAGAATATGGCATGCTTAGGCAAGGAGACAACAACTATACGCTGCGTTTTGGACGCTGCCTTCAACTATTTCGACTCAGAGAAATCATGGTCGCTAGAATCTGGAATCGCTCTCCCCGTTCTTCGCGATATGGTGTTTCTAATGGAGAAAACAGGTGAAATCTTTTTCAGCATCAAAGAAAAGGTTTCTTATGCTTGAGCTCTCTTTGCAGGTAACGATCATCTTGTTCTTGGCGCGCTAGTGAGACACCTAGACCATAAAAATGTTGCGAATGAGCTGCCAGTGAAGACCGAGATTGTCAGGGTCACAACAGTCCTAGCACGGCATTCGAAACCCAAGAGCAAGCATTCGGAAGTCGGTATCATCAACGATCTGTCACGCCATCTTCGTAGAAGTTTGCAACTCTCTTTGGAAATGTCTAGTGGTGTCAACATGGAGCACTTGAACGACTGTCTTCAAGCAATCGAGCGATGTTTGATAGAGCTAGCACGGAGGGTAAATTTTAAGTGCTCTATTTCAGCTGATGTTTAACGTCGTGTGATTAGATCGGCGAAGCAACTCCTATCCTGGAACAAATGGCCGTTATTCTGGAAAAGCTTTCGTCCAAGAATACAGTTGCCAGAACGACTATCGAAGCAGTGGCCGTCCTTGCACATATTGTTGTATCACTTCCAAATGAAGATCTGCACATAAAGGTACCATTTTTGCACCTAAAAGGCCAGGAATTTCATGCTGTAATTGCAGGCATTTCCAGAGGCGTTGCTTTACCAGCTTTTGCGAGCAATGGTACACCCCGACGTCGAAACTCGTTTGGGTTGCCACCATATTTTCTTTGTTTTGTTGATACCTCCTTCAGGGGGAGATGCGGTTCTCGTTAAGAGCGACGTGAAAGTTCTATTCCGGACACCTTCTAGTGCAGCATCTTCTCTATTTGAGAAAGTTATGAAAGACAAGCAAAAGAGCGTCGAAAACATTGACGAGTTCAAGGACGCTGAAGAATCTCTCGCCGTGAAGGACACATCCGCCAAAGAAGTTGTATGTATGTTCTTCAAGCTGTGATGATTGGACTTACAATCTTATTTGCAGGAGATGACGCCTGCCAGGTTAAGCGGATATCAAGCATCGCTACTTCTTTCGAGCTTATTAATTCAGGCTACAATGGCCGACAATGTGCCCGTCATCTTTGAGGCGCTTGGCCATACTTTTAGCTTAACGCTGCTTTTTTCTCGACCCAAGGTAAATTCTTGATCGTGCGAAGGTCTTTGTTTCTCATCTTATGGTTTTCAGACTTCCAGCAATAACACTTGCATACGAGCTTTTCAGCTTGCTCTGACTCTGCGAACTCTTGCTTTAGATCCCAGCGGTATGTCATAACGTCGGGATTACTTGCAATGTACTTATCTTTCTTTACAGCTGTGAAAAGCTCGTGCCAGCGCCGGTCGCTGTTCACACTTTCGACTGTCATGCTTATCGTTGCTGCCACAATTTACGATGTTCCCCATATCATACCCCTTGTCAAGGCTAACCTTACAGCTGAAACGGTATTGTTGACGTTGGCTGCTTTACTTTATTGACGCATTTTTCCAGAGGGATCCGTTCCTGGAAGTTACGGAGGACAACAAGCTTAAGCTTTGTTCCGGTGCGAATTTTAAGAACTACGGCTCTATAGATGAAGAAAGATCGGCTGCAGCTGCCATGTCACAGATTTCCATTGCATCCGATGCTTCAAACGAGAGCATTGCTTCCATGATAGTCAAGCTCGCACCACCACACCTTGAGGTACATTTTTTTCTGCATATAACGATTTTTCCTTCTGGCTTTTGACTCCACGTACTACAACTAGATGAGTGGACCTGAGCAGTTGCTCCAAAAGTTTACTCCAGACGACACACTTGTTTTGGGCTCGAAGATACACTTGGAAGCTTTCAACGGTCACATGGGCATGGAGTCTATGTCTTTTGACGACGTGAGGATAAAACAAGTAGTTTGTATTCAATGTCTTACTTTTCGCTGTGTAGGTTGTACCCTCGGCTGATGAGGATGCTTTGAGTCCAATGGCTTCTATTGGTCTTCCTCCACTACTGGCTGATGTCCCGGTTCCTCCCCCAGCTGCTATGGGCGTAAATCAGCTTCTAGAATCGGTAAGACGCTCACTTTCCTGCGTGCTCAAGCAAAGGCAATGTGTTTACAGGCACTGGAAGCTGCCGGCCAAGTCGCCAGCATCACAACCCCGAACTCTCCGGTTTCTTATCATGCTCTTGCAAGCCAGTGCGAGGCCTTCGTTGCGGGAACGAGGAAGAACATGTCAATCGTGATGAGGCTTGATAGCAATCTGAAACCGAGCACGCCATCAGCGGACGTAAGTTTTCGCAAGGCTTTTGAGTTTTTATCAATCGCTTACGCTCCCTTGTTTCCAAAAGGCCAAGGGAAAGTGGACGCAGGCTATCGGCTCCAGGAGCAAGAGCTTGAACGAGAGCCCCGTCTTTAGCCCTCCGTGGTTAACACCATCGGCTGACGAGACATGGCCGCTGGTAAAGCTCCCACCCGCGAGCCCCTACGACAATTTCCTCAAGGCTGCCGGCTGCTAAACTGCGACGGTTTGGTGTAAATAGCTCGGTATGTTATACTGTTTTTTCGTGTTTCTAACTGCGGGACATTTAAAAGGTTGAGAATGTTCGAAGGTGCTGCAAGTGTCGGCGTCCTTCATACTCAAAAGTATTAAGCATCTGATGTCAGAGTGCATAAGTAAGTGCCTAGAGCCATCGCAATCAGCCACTAAGTTGCTTGCAACTGGCGAGAACATTGCGGGGACACGGTAAGTAATTTCGTTTAGAACAAATGAAAGTTTTGCTTTCTTCTTCGTTTGTCACTCTGGCTTTTTGCTCTTTGTAACAGCAGGTCGCCTAACAATCCATCACGCCGTGTGTTGAGAAGAGTTAACAAAGAGAGAAGAAAGCACAAGCAAAACAAAGCACAGATGTATGAGAGTTTGTCTCGACGGAGTTTGTTCGCTCTTGAAGAGTTGAAAGCACGCAGCGTTTGGCGGGGAAAGAGCGAACAAAAGGAGGAAGAAAAGTTGGCGATGGCGATGGCGACTCTATCGTCTAGGGAGGTGTTTAAGGCTGGGGATTAGGTGCTTGGCCATTTTTTCTCTCCTCTCCTCCGACTGTATGGTGAAAGAATGTGACCCACTGTTTCTATCTCGCCACCGGCGGTAAATCTGGAGCGGTAACAAAAAAAAAGTGAGAAAAATTTGACAGCGGAGTTTCAAAGGGAACTTCAGAAGAGCTGCATTTTTCAGAGAGATCCTCATGTATCTCTGCATGCATGCAGCAGCAACAACACCACCACAAAGAAATCTGTTAAGTGTGTGAGTATGTGTGATAAATATTTAGATGGTGATTGTTTTGCTTTGCTTTTGGAGGGTGTGGTCGTGACATCATTCAATTGCCCACCTTGTGGAATGCCCTAAATTGAATGCATGTGTGTTCTTTAAAACAGATCTTAGCAGATCACCAAGGATGTTCCTCCTATTATTCTCACCTAACAAGTTTCTGGGTGGTGGGGAATTCTGGGAGACATATGCCCGGTCTCATTCATCCAGACCCCCCACTAAAAACACATTAACCAAAGAAAGTGTTGTTTTACTTTTTTTTTCTTTCACCTTACACTGTTTCTAAGCTATCTAATTATTGACTTGATAGAAAATAAAATATATTTTCTATTTATATTATTATTTGGTATTATTAAAATTATCACTATTATGATCAAGGAAAAAACAAGCTGTATTGTCACAAAGTGTAGCCGTATCTATGGAAATCTTACCCAACTGTGGTGACAACACACGCATAAGTTTCAAGCCCCAACTCCATCTCTCTCACTCTCTCTCTCTCTTCTCAAATCTTTAAAATACTTGCTCGATCCGTGACAAGTTTTCGTAAGCACACGAGTGAGGAATAAGGTGGCGGATTTGTTGTGTTGTCGTGGATTCTATGCCCTCTTTCTTCTTAGGTAGAGGATTCCGCGTCTTAGTTTAGCTTAGGGAAGATAGGCCAGAGCTTACACACATATTATAGGATTAAAGATTTAACAATTTGTATGGTTGTGGCAATGTGATTCATAAGCACAAGTAGATGGGCACTACCAAACAAGGAGCCAAATCTTGTTTGTTAGCTGTGCCCAACTGTTTGGTTTTGTGTGGTGGCGGCCAAAGATGGGTCACACTCATTCCATTATCACTGTTCCTTATTAGCGGTAAGTAACGTTGGCATTAACAACAATTAACTCGGAGATCCATTCCCCTCGTCTTGTTCTTCCTTCTCTTTTTCTTCCATCCCAGGTTTTCATTTTAATTGACGAGTCTTTAAAGAGAGGATTTCATGTCTTTCTTAGCAAGGACAGGACTGCTACGAGAGCGCTGATCTTTTTAATCTATGCTGCGATCTCTCCTTCAAAAGAATATATAGTTTGGAGAGGAGGATGTCCACAAGGGCGGCAATTCGCAACAGTGGCCAAGAGCTGGAAAATTCGTGATTGGAAGCGCAAAAAAACTCCACGAATTTCCAGAGCAGTAGAAGGAGAAGGAGAAAGAGATCGGCTACTAGCTCGATCGATTCGAATGGCAGCTATGGAAGTATCCTCGGCCTCGCCTCCTGGTTTCATGGCTGCTAGTTCTCACTCCCAGCATGGATCCCCGTCTAGCGGCCCCAGTAACAAGAGGAAACGACGTCCTGCTGGAACTCCTGGTAAGTTTGCTTCTTCTTTCTTGGATGGCATCTTCTTCTTCATGATTTTCTTTCTTCTTCTTCACGGTTTCTTTCTCCTTCTTCATGGTTTCTTTGCTACCGGAGCAATCAAAATTTTCTTCTTGCTATACTGGATGATCCATGAATTCCCTTCAAAAACTTCCTGTCTTGTTCTTTTGCATTGGCTTCTCCGGTCAAATTCCCTTGATGCTGCACCGCGTTGTTGTGAGCTGTATGGCTTGTTTTCGCGCTGATTCGAAAGAAGTTCTTATCGTTTTTTCCTTTTCCTCGTTTTGTTTTGTTCTTCTGTTTCCAGATCCCGATGCCGAGGTCGTCTCCTTGTCACCCAAGACGCTCATGGAATCCGACCGCTACGTATGCGAGATCTGCAACCAAGGCTTCCAGCGCGACCAGAACCTGCAAATGCACCGCCGGCGCCACAAAGTTCCATGGAAACTCCTCAAGCGCGCCACTCCGGAGGTGCGCAAGCGCGTCTACGTCTGCCCGGAACCGTCGTGCCTCCACCACGATCCCTGCCATGCGCTGGGCGACCTGGTCGGCATCAAGAAACACTTTCGCCGCAAGCACAGCACTGAGAAGCAGTGGAAGTGCGACAAGTGCTCCAAAGGCTACGCCGTCCAGTCCGACTACAAAGCCCACCTCAAGACGTGCGGGACGAGAGGCCACTGCTGCGCTTGTGGGCGTGTTTTCTCGAGGTAAAGATCACATCCAGATCATGCGCAAGCTTTCTTCTTTCTCTCTCTTGATCGAGTCCTCTGAGAGTTTTTTGAAATTGATGCTCGATGATCTGTGGCTGACGAGCTTAATTTTTGATCTTGCAGGGTCGAGAGCTTCATAGAGCATCAGGACACTTGCACGGTGGCCAAAGAAAAAGCGTCGCTGGGTGACAGCGATGTGAGCGCGAGTCCGTCAAGCAATTTGCATTTCCTGCTCCTGGGCGGCCAGAGCACCGGTAGCAGCGGTGTTACCACCGCCACCACTCGCGGCGGTGGCCACTATCCTCCTCCCACCTTCACGCCCAGCTCGCCAGATCTTCACCATCCAGGCAGCGCTAGCGTGATGAGCACCAGATCTCTCTTCGAGCCATCGAGCAGTAGCCGTAGTCCGCCTCCGCCTCCCAGCCACCGCTGTCCAGAACAACGCCACGAGCTCCAGCTCATGCCAACGAACAGCGATCCTGGACGAGTTTTTACGCTGCCGACCAGCTATAATACCATGCTCGCCAACAAGAGCGCGAGTTTGCAGCCCATTTCAAACGTCTACCGGTTCGTCTCAAGACCCTCGTCCGTGCTCGATGACTGTCTCAAGAACAGCACGATGATGGTCCCGGGAAGGAAGTGCCATGATGGTGATCGAGCATCACCAGGAGAGGAGTCGAGGCTGCAGCTATCGATCGGGCTCTCGACGTCGAGCGACGATCCAGTCGACACCTACGAGGCCAAGCCGAGGAGCCCATGGCGGGAGGAGAGGCTACTCCACCACCAGCAACATCATCACCCGTCCTTGGGAGCCGGGCATGGCGCCATGAATGCAGCAGCCACTGTCGGGACAGATTTGCGATTGTCCTCCCCGCTCATGGCCGAGTTCGCAGATCGGGGGAAGCAGATTCTCTTGGAACGGCAAGCCAGGGGAGGAGGATTAATGTTTGGCGCCAACGAGCTCAACAGGCTTGTGCAATTAGAGAGCGCCGCAATGAGAGGCAACAAGGACAACACTAGCATACACACGACGAGCAACAGCGCCGGTTTCTACTTATACAACGGAATGCTGCTGCACAATCACCACCATGATCACCGCCACCACCTGGATGCCACCACCAGGCAGCGAGCAGCCGCTGCTGCTGCAGAGATGCATCTTTGGCCACAACAAAGATCCATTCCGCAGGTGCCGCAGGGTGGCGGTGGCGGTGGTGGTGGTGGTGTGTGTTTTCCTGCTCCAGGGGGTGGCATGATGATGTTGAGGGTGAATGATAGCCTGCTGCACCGTGCGGGATCGTCTATCCAGCAGCAGCAGCAGCAGCGATACCAACACGATCAGATGGAGCACGAGGAGAGGAGCAAGAGACATCTGTCGGATTTGAAACTGGAGCAGCTCAGACACGAGGCCCGGACGCAGCTGCGTCTCTCGACAAGCGATTCCAGCGCTGCTGCTTCCAGTCTCGCGTCTCGAGGTCATGGTACCGATCATTCCTCTGATCATCTCCACGGCAAGTATCAGATCGTTGGACAGGCTGTAAATGGCGATCAGGTGGGCGAGAGCAGCGATGATCATCCAGTTGCCCAGCAAAGACAAGCAGCAGTATTTGGGAAGAACATCATGGCAGCCCAGAGCCACGAAGAATCCAATTATGCCACCAGTGTAACAATCAACAACAACAGTAACAGCAACAACAAGAACAGAGACTCTGGTTCGCAGTCGGGCACAACTTCAAACTCGGATTCAAACTCAAATTCAAATGCTTCGACTGGTCAAGTCGAGTCTCTGACTGCTGCTACTACTAGTTTATAAAAGAAGAGGAAAATGGAAGTTTTCAAAGCAGGTGCGTCAACTTTCTGGAGGTTCAAAGGCCCAAAATGCTGCCTGTTGTTCATAGAATACAAATTTACACATCAAAAAATTGATTGATTACATATCCTCTCCTTTTGCTGATGAAATGTGGGGGCTCTGATATTGTTTATGATGAGCAACACGTGCAGTGGGCCTTTCTAGTGCTCGACCTTAGAACAACACATCAATATTTTACAAATATTTTCATCTCATCCTTTCTATGCATAAAAGAAAAAGGTGGTAGAAAAAAAAAGAAAAGTTTGAAGCTCTCTTTGTCTTTTCTTGAGCTTTAGTTCTGCAATCCTTTGGAGGGAGCTCCAAGACATTGGTCTGAGTTCATCATACGAGTGAGAACTTGTTTATGAGAAAGAGCACTTTCTCTCTTTGAAGAGGTGGTTTATTTTCTTGGAGAACTTTAGTTGTGTGCTTTTAGGATGGTGGCATTTGGTGCTCTGCTTGCCCCCATCATTCCCAAAGCCATGTTTTCTCCAGTGTCCTTCCTCGCATATATTTGTCCTTGTTTAAAACCACAGGCATCATTGGGTTATGCCAACTTGGGGCGCGGGGAATTCACTCCATCCCCAAACTTGTGACTTGGTAAAATGCCAAGCAGGGGCAAAACATATCCTGAGGGGTAAAAACTGGAACAAGGAAGCTATGGCTGTATAGAATACGAACAACATCACAGCACCATCACTAAATGCACAGTCTCCCAAGCATAAACAATCTTGCAAATTCAGGGAAGTAAAACTTTTCCTCGAGACTGTTGAATCTTCCCAAAACTTGGAGGAGAGAACTTGTCAAATTTAGAGAGTGTTCATGTATGGCCACTAGAGACAAAGAGCCCAAGATTTATACCCAGCAGCGGAAGCCAGCATCAGCGTGACGTTGTGCAAAAGCCAAGCTCTCCACCCTTAAAAAACGATCCGGATCGATCAACTATTGCTATGGTGCTTTGGTACGATCTATGAAGCAAAGTAAAAAACTAAACTCCTTTACACGCACCATGGAAGCTTTTAGGGGCATGTCTGTCGTCAAACGGAGCGTTTATGATATTAATCTATGGGTGATTCATCTGTTTTGTCTTGGATTGGGAACAAGGGGGCCACCAAGTTCATATCTACAGACAAAATAATCTTCCACCCAGCGCGATGTGGCGATCAATTTTTTGGAGGTGGCAAACATTTACCTCTTTGTTTATATCCCCAGTCAAGCCAAACCACGCACGCAAAAGAATTCCAGTGTTGCCGTGTGGAAGAGTTACCGGGATCCTGCAAGCATTTTCTTCTGGATTTGTCTCCTTTTGTTGTCAAGAATCATTTCTACTCATGCTCACCTCTATTGTTTTTCCCATCTGGGAATATATCACTGATTCGCTTTGATCGAACTGGGCCATGCCATCCATCAGCCCCCAATCACTGCGAATCCAATATAAAGAGAGCTCATAATCCTGTCTTAACAAGAGAGAAAATTATTAGATCACTGGTTTCAAGGATGTTGCAAGGCATGATTCTACTTCACAAGCCAGTGTTGCCACCCATGATGAATCCAGGACACAAGCCAAGAGAAAAAACAAAAGGACTTGATGGTTTAGTTCCACTCACCGCAGAGATTTTGGTCCCTTTTTTTAAAGTGAGACAAAGCAGCCTCCTCCGCCTAGCAACAGTGACACTGATACAAACGAAAGCGAGTGAGCATTGGCAGCGATTGAGAATTTCTGGGCTACGTACTTGGAGGTTCCTGGGAGCACTTCAAACAGCTTAAAAAACAGGGTCGCTCCAACATGTAGCTTGTCCCTCGTTGCGTTTGGTCCCCACAGCCAAAGGGAGCCGCTCACTGCAAAAGATAGAAAACGCGAAACGAAAAACAGTTTGAAGGGACCCATCAATCTACATAGTTAGAATGGTTCTATGTCTGGAACTGAGAGGAAAATAAAAAAGAAAAGAAAAAACACGCAAAGTACCTAACACGCGTGATCACCTCGTAAGACAAGGAGCATGGAGACAAACATATTATGCCGTATGGAGCCTTCTCCCAGCAGTCCCTGAGATGAAATAAATAAGGAGAAAAAAAGAACAAGAAAAGTTGAAATTGTTATCTTGTGAGGAAAAAGTCGCGGATTCTATCCTCCAACTGGATGAATCTCAAACTGTGGTGCATCCGGACAAAAGGATACGCCAGATTACCAAGTCTTCCAGGTAGTTTCGTTTAAGCCGGGTCTGCACAAGATTGTCCCACTTAAATTTGTATCTAGATAAAATCAAAACAGAAGACGCGTACCTGTGTGCGTATCTAAATCACTCGGGATGGCACCCCCGACTCGCCTAGTTGGATTCGACTTTACCTCCTGGGAAACTGTTCACAAGCGACCAGAACCAAGCGCTTGACTTGGAACTTTCAAAGTCTGGATCGTCGACAAGCTCTGCCGCAGTTACCGCCTCGGCTTGACCCAAAAGTTTGAGGGCCGGTATGGCGTCTTGTTCGCGTCCGCATTGCACTGCGACACAGGCGAGGTTGTAGAGCACGTCACACTGCCGCGAAAAGTCTATATCATGCTCGCCTACAGTTAAGAGAAGCGACTCGCATCAGGAAAATACAGAGTGAGACATAAAGTAAGGAGCTCTTTATGACCCACCTGATTTCAAAAGTTCGATGCATCTCATGTGGTAGGTCGTACTCTGATCGGAGTGATCATGTGAGCCTCGACTGTTCCCGAGAAGCCTTGACGATCTCGATGCCAGGCGATGAGCTTCGGCAATACCAAGAAGCGCATCCATGTTAGATGAATTAATTCGTAGAGCGGTTGTAAAGCTCTCGACTGCAGACAGCATGGTGCTGTATCGCTGTGGGATTAAACACAAGACGGATACAGATAAGAACTCAACGCAAAACAAGTTACCTTTTCGAAAAATGGTGGCTCCTCAGGTAGCCTCTCGAACTCAGCAATGTAGGAATCTCCCAACGCAGTGAAAAGAGCTATACGAGTTGGGCTTAGCTTTGTGGCCGCACACAGCTTCTCACGAGCAATTCCATACAGCTCCAATGCTTCCAAGTAGTCAGGTACATGCTGGAAGTTTCATACGTGAGTAATTGCCAGGAAATGAAAATAAATAAATAAATACCTCGGCTTTAGAAACTAAACCTGCAGCCAAGTTTTCCAAGAGCGTGGACAAATCGTCACCCTTCTTGGTATCAGCCACAGAGCAAACATATTCATAAACTTCGAGTGCCCGGTCGAAGAGCAACTTCGCTCGATCCCACGACTCCGACGAAGAAGGTCCTTGCGATAACAGTTCTGCCTGCCTAATGCAACAGTCAGCCATGTTCGCATGAACATCTAAATCGTCTGGTGACGCTGAAAGAGCCGCAGAATACCTATACTGCAACAGCACATTGAGTGTAAGCCATAGAGAAAGAAATGGATATAACACACCGTTCATAAGCGTCGGAGCAGAGCTTCATTGCAACACCCAAGCCTCCACCTTGAGTCTCTGGAAGCTCAACCAACACTTCCACTAGCTCGCATAGAACGCTCCCACTATTTGTAAGAGCTTCAGCCTTGAGCTCGCTGAGCTCTATCTTATCGAAAATCTCAAAGCTCTTCCTGAAAAAAGAATGAACAGAGATTGAGCTGCTAAGTAAAAAAACAAACAAACAAAGATAAAAAGAAAAACATACGTGAAAAGTGGAGCAGCGCGAGCAAATGCCTCCAATTTCAGTACTTCTGCTCTCGCCTTCTTGGTATCACCAGTTAGAGGAGTTGCGAGCGATGGAACAGCCGTAGCGATGGACTTGGCCCACAGAAAACAAGTGTCCGCCTGTTACGCAAGCAACGCAGTCAAGAACAACGACTAGAAAGGAGAAAGTGCGAAAAAGAGACAGTGATCTATCCAAATAAGAACAGTACCAGGTCAAACAGGCACTCATCGCGATCCTGTTGCAAGGCCTGCTGTCCAAGAGCTGACTCAAAAATCTCTGCGCTACGCGCCAGCAACGGCTCTCTGGCGATGCCCGATTTCCTCTCCGCCTGTTGCTTAAGCCTGCGCGCCTCTGATCAACGCCCGGGCGATCAGAAACCACGCGAATTTCAGGAATATCTCACCAGTTAGCAGTCCTGGCTCCGCCGATCGACGCGCATTCCTCCCGCGCCCGGGCGCCATAGCCAAACCCCTATAAACCCTAACCTTTGGAACCAAATATTTGCTTGTTGCTTGCATTGATAGTTTACTTCGTATTTACACACAATCACTGGCCTCTCACTTGCGAGAATTCTCGTCATTGGCACAGAGGAAGGCGCTCTCCAGTGCCTGGAAGAACCACCAAAGGAGCAATCGATCAACCAAATGGAGAGCGAGCAAGGGGGAATCGCGAACTAACCTTGGGCGCAACTGGAGGAATGAGCTTTCTCACGGGCCGGCGATGGTTCCTCCACAGCAATCCCCGCGAGATGGGCGAGACGAGCGAGTCCGTGGGGCTCAAGTACCTAAGAAGAAATCTCTCCATCTCACTCGGAACCAGAAGAATCGATCCCTCTTACCTCTCTGGATGGGAGCCAAACATCATCCTAGGAGGAACCCTCACGACTGGCTTCGCCGCCGCCACCTTCTTGGATGCCTCCACGCTGCCAAGATCGTCGAAGCGCTTGTTCCTCTCCTGGAGCACGGACTGAGAGCAAGAAATCGCGATTTCGATCGCCGGAGCCGCTGTAAGCTGCTGATTTTGCTCCAGCGGCGCCGCTTCTTCCATTGCCATATCCATTGCCTTGACCTCGCTGGCGATGGCGCTGGCGCTGGCGATCTCCATGCCCTAGACTCGGTGGAAGAAAGAGGATAGAGCTTGCTTTCAACGGTAAAAATTGGCGGAAATAATATGCCGAGAATATGCTACACTTAAAACAATATCCTTGACAAAATGCTTTTCCCATTAACTGCGTTCTTGGAGATCTCGATGATCTCTTCTTCCTTTCGTTCTTTTCTCTCGCCTTCCCTTTAGCTGTTTGATACGCTCTTGGCTCGATGATCGATCCAGTTGCGAAATCTTTGCGCTCGGCCGCGTCTCGAAGCTATCGAGCAAGATGAAGGGATCTTTCGTCTGGCAGGGACACTGTTGGTGCGATGGAACAAATCCTCTGTGTCGAGTACGTAAGACACCTACATTCATAGACTATTTAGTTCCCGACTCGAAACTACTAAGCCTCTACAAGCCTGAGGTTGATTTACCTTCGAGGTTTTGCAGGAGATTTTGTATTCCAGGCCGTTCAGCACTCGCACGCCCTCCATGGCGGTGGTCACGTCTTGAGGGTCCTCGTTAAATGGTGAGCTTCGCTTGTTCCTAGAAGGACGAGCGTAAGCGAAAGGAAAACATCTACACGCATGGCTTACCTCTTTAGAAATACGCCTTTGGCGGCTTTCGCATCCGGAACCGTTAGTAGGAACCCGTTCAAGTAGTTTGAGAATGAAAACTCCATTGCGCTTGCCGGCACTTCGAGCTTTTCAGAAGCGCCGCTCATCAGCTGAATCGATAGCTCTGTTGAGTTTGGGTCCTGTTACGTGAAGGAATTAGACGCGACAATGCGGACTCCAGAGTGAAAATAGCTTACAAGTTCGAAGCGGTAGATACTCTCGTCGTGGAGGAGAACGCACGTATTAGCATGGTACACGGGATCATAGAATCCACCCGGACCACGAGACTTCTCGTACGCATAAAGCGCAAGAAGCTTAGTTGCGGTTTCATCCGCCGCGACGGCTTGCAGCTGCAACATCCAGAGTAAGGATCGGATGGCATGCAATCAGCAGATTACCTGTTTTACAAGCTTGTATATCAACTTATCCAGCGTGAATAGAACATATGATTGTGTTCCAATTATTGACCTGCACTCGTCCTCAAACTTCGCGTTGTCGGCCGTGCCATCAAGGAGATCATAAAGGACACGCACAAACCTGGAGAGTTTATCATGAATTAATGCATGACAATTAGAAGGAGAGGTTACTTACTTTGCATATAAGTTTGGAGGTGTGTTGTCCTTCAGCGACTTCCACTTTTGCTCCGCCGCAAGAGAATTTGTCTTCGCGGAGTGCATGCGCTCGTAAAAGGTCTGCGGCTCTGTGTTAGCACAAGCAAGACTATATCAGAGTCTTTACCTGATGAAGTCTGAAGAGAATGTAGAACATGTCGTTCCCATAAAAGACTGTGCTGTCTTTCTGAGCGTCCAGAGAGCCTGCATGAGATGCAAGCGGCTTGCAAAACACGGAAAACCGGTCGGGAGAAGAGATGCCGTCGGCGTCGGTGTTATCTGCATCCGCCATGCCTTCACATTCGCTCTCAACCTTTTGTTCGTGTTCTTCATCTGCGTCCTCTTCTTCATCCTCGTCATGGTCATCCCGTGAACCATCGGGATCACCAGCATCACTGCCAGAGACTTCTTCACCTGCCTCTGAAGCGTTCTCATTTTCACTATCATCGCTAGACTTTTGTCCACTTTCTTCCCCCTCGTCACCACCATCTCCATTGTGATCTACATCAGCGTCTGCATCACCTGAACCGTCTTTTCTCAGAACATTCTTTCCCTCGTTCCTCTCAGGTGATAGCTCCCCTTCCTCCCTCTCACCCTTTCCATGAGCACTTGTTCTATGAGAAGATGTTGCATTCCTCGTTGTCTCCAACTCATGCTGCAAAATAATGTCAAATAAAGAAGAAAAAAACTAATTTATCCGCAGACCTCGTGCCTCGAAGAGCTTTTAGCCTCTGTAGCTGCCAAAAAAGAAAGAAAAAACAAGACAGCCTTAGGAACGGAACTTACCAACAAAAGCTAAAATTTACCATCTAAGCCGTCTTTCCTTTCAAGACTGGCTTCTCGTTGCATGGCAGCGTTGTCACCATGTCTTCCTTCCTCACCTTTACGTTTTCTTCTGGAGTCGTGCACAACTGAGTTTGCTACGGGCCGACTAGAAGCCGTTGCGCATTCTTCCTGAGCATTCTTTCCCTCGTTCGCTGGGCTCCCTGTTCCACCACTTGCAGCACTTTCACCGGAGCTCGACTGTTCCTCTTTGGAGACACAATTCGCCCTCACCGCCTCCTCTGTATCGTCGGTGCCACGAGGTCGAGGTGGCACACCAAATAAAAGCTCCAGGGACATGGTCCATACACGCATTATTTTATCGGACTGCTCCATGGTGTTGCATACTTCGTCCGCAGAGTACTTCATGATTTGGAACAAATCTTCGTGAATAGACGAGTCGGGATAGCCGAACTTCATATCGGGAGTAGGTAGCCTCTTGTTTCCCATTATCAAATGAAGAACAGACTCGTCTTCTTTCCTCTTCTTCTCGTGCACATCCTTGATTTCGGCAAGAAGTCCTGAAACCAACCGCAGCATGCTATGAGAAAAAACGAAAACAAGCAAAAAGAAGAATACCTTTAGAGCTCAAGCTCTTTTTGTCTTGCTGCTTGAAGTAGAAACTTCGATGATCTAGAGACTTGTGATAGTTTTTAGTATATACTTCTGCCCACACTTTGTTCATGTCGGCTCGACACTTGGCCCATTCCTCCTCCTTTTGTCTGAGACGACAATGGACAACAGCAAGTACCGAAGATGCGTTCTTTCTCATCAAATCGATTATATCAAGCCCATGATCGCCATATATTCTCTCGATACAGCGTAAGTTGATCGCTGCACCATAAATGTTGTAAGCTTTCTGAAACTAGATTTAAAAAATTGTACCTGACAGGTAATCGTCAATACGAATCGAAGGGTCTAATTGCCCGGAATCTAACTTCTCAACCAGCTCTCCAACACGTTTTGCGGTCAAGGCGGTTGATTCCAGGAGCATATCGAGCTCAAACCTGAATATCAGTATTAGAGAAGTTCAAAAGCATCTATAGCATGCCATACCGATCGTCTTCACAACGAAATAGACTCTCTTCGTATTGGTTCCGTCGCATGTGTTTGAAAGAAGAATCCTCACTTCCAGAAGTTACAGACACCCAAGAGTCGTTTAAAACAGAATTCGCTAGCTCGTTACGATGGTTCGATGGTAGACGAGGGTACTGAAATGTTGCGTTAAGCACAAAAGGCAACAGGCAAATACAAGACTTACATTCTTTGGTAGCAGACGATAGCTTGGAGTGCATGTCTCGCAATTGGAAAGATCAAGTTCGGATATTGGTTTGTTCGTAAACTTGTCTTTGCTAGGCAGTAGAGACATTTTCTGGCCAGTCTTATCGGACGCATACCGCTCCTTATCCTTGTCTCTATCCTTCTCCCAGTCTTTTTCTCTGTCATGATCTTTATCTCGGCCTTTCGAGGCTACACCTTCCGACTCCAATCCTGTCAAAGTACACAGATTAGAATGACACTGTCTGTACAAATGCAGCTTACTTCGAGCAAAAACACCACCCAAGCATCCCTCTGAAAGAGAGACGGAAAAAAAAAAAAAACTGAGTGATTGTGCAAGACACACAAACAAAACAGAAGAAAAAAAAACAAAAACAAAAACAACCGGGAAAGCCAACAAATACTTACCGGCGTTTTCACCTTGAAGAAAGTTGTTGAAGCCTTCCAGAAGATCAGGATGCTTTCCTAAAATGTCTGTAGCCTATACAACACAAGCACAACACCAGGTTAGGCAAATTTGTATGATGGTATAAAGTAACTTACAAATGAATGCAACTCTCCACGATTGATAATCTGCTCGGTATACAGATTAATAATCTTAATCAGCTCTTTGTACGAATCACGATTTCGCAGCCTTCCTTTAACCTTTTCAAAAAACGCATAATCTATCTGTGTGCTTGTACCTGAATAGAGAGTGAATTACTGGCAAAACAAATCGCAAGTTTCTTACCTTCCGCGGTTTGAGATTGCTTTCGGATAAGTTCATCGGCTCTCCGAGCTGATTTTCGTTTGTGCGGCAAGCGTTGTCCATCTAAATCGTCCCGATCCAAATCCTCTTTGTCCCTGTCTCTCTCGTGCTCATCATTCCGATCTCTCTCTCTCTCAAGTTTTCTTCGGTGCTCCTTCTCAGCTTTGAGAGATGAACGTTCTGTCTCCTTCTGAACAGAGAAATTTTCAGAAAGAACGAAAGCACACACGCGAGTTTCACCTTAATCACAGGATACTGAGATGATCGGCCTGAAGGACCCTTTTCCTCTTTCCGTTGGTTGGATGTTCCTTGTCTAAAGGACGTCTGAACAGCGTTTCCTGTGTCCGGAAGAAACCGAGTGAACTCGTCCAGCAAATCCGGATGGTCACGAAATAATGAAGCAACCTACACATTGCAATTTATCACATTGCAAGAGATGGAATGAACAAGCTTTACCTCGTCATATACTTCATTGATCGATTTCGTGCCCTTGCGGTACTTATTCAAAATTTCCAAAAAAGCTTTGTACACATGTTCATTGTCGTTGAAGCGGTTCTGCGCCACAGCAGCGAACGAGCTTAAAACACATGGGCCAAAAAAAAAGAGAACAATACCTTGATTTTGTTGACAAAATTAATAGCCTGATCGAACTCCACAGGCTGTTTCTTCTCCTCGGGAAGTACTATTTGATAATTCTTAGGCAAGAACGTGTTGAAGCCAAGAATGAGCTTGTTGTGACCCTTAAACAGGTCTTTCACCTTGGCGATAACACCAGACGTATCGATCCTTCACAATCAAAGAACCACAAACATCAGATCGCGTCCCAAAACCCATAAATCCACCGAGAAACCAACCTTTGCGCCTTGAAGTCTTTCATGACCTCAAGAAACTCGGCATACTTCCCATTGTCATCTTTAAACTTCTCCTTGACCGCCTTGAGATAGAGCATGGCATCCTCGGTTGTGAGGCGTGGCTGCTCCGACCTGAGACGAACAGGGAAAAAAAGTTAAAAAAAACATCCATGAAGAACACCCAAATCTGAAACAAGAAGAGGGGAGCGGCACTTACGATTCACCAGCCGTGCGCTTGAGCTGTGGCCCGGATGTACTATCTTCCCTAGCACGCTTCATGCTTGATACCTTCCTAGTGACAATGCCTGTGCTTGCGCATGCTTAGGGAGCTGGCGCCCCCCAGCCCCGAGAACCAGAATGCCAAAATTGATCGATTGCGCGGGTCGAAACACAGCCACAATGAAGGGAGCGCTGCCACTGCAATCACCGGAATCAAATCGGCCAGATGCAAGAAAAGGAGCGCCCAATCCAGGATCTCCCCGCGCCTTTCGAGCCGAAGCTACGCCCTGGCAGCCGGGGCTCAGCGAGGGCCAAGGAGGAAATTTCCCAACACCAGAAATCTGGCCAGACCTGTGACAGCCGCGCGCCGCGGATTTAGCTCCAAGCTCCAAGACCGCATCAAGCGCGCCCCGGCGCCGCGAGCGATACTCGGTTCGTCGCGCTCGTCACTGATCCTTGCGTCTCTCCCGTTTTGAAATACCTAAACCAAAACCACAACAATGAACACGTCGCCCAATGGAGAGGCGGGTTTGCAATTTTATGTTCTTTACATCCAAGGCGAATGGTTTAACCACGACTGTGTGGTTTTGGCGATGGGTTAACCCTCTGGGTGGTTAAAGCTGACGTGGACGGGTGACGTGTCACCCCCCGTCGCGGGCTCGACTCCGGTCCCTTCACGAAAACACCAAACGCGTCGCGGTTCGAATCGCCTTCCCGTGTTTAGCCGGGTCGCGGGTTCGAATCCGGCCCACTCCCAAAAAATCCAGGCGCGTCGCGGTTCGAATCGCCTTCCCTGCCAACCGAGTTTAACACCTCGAGCTTATCGTTGTGAGAGTGCGTGAAGCCAATGCGACGTTCTTCCTCCACGGTCTCTTTGCTGCGAAACGCGATCACCCAAGCTCTCCTCCAGCTATCCGAGCTGACATTGCCACTGGATCCATGGAGCAAGCGTTCGTGGTGGACGGTCACGTCGCCCCGGCGGATCTCCATGGCTTTTGGAGCATCGGCTGGCGCGAGAGTAGCGAATAGAGTGTGGGATTTCTCGCGATCGCCGTGAGCCGGGCCGTGGTCGCGGAGCTGCTGCTCGAGGTGTGTTCCTGGGACGAATTGCAAGCAGCCATTCTGGATAGTGGAGTCGTCTATGGCGAGCCAGAAGGAGGCGGTCCTGGTGTCCTTGGTCACTGGCCAGTAGGCTAGATCTTGGTGCCTGGAAGAAACCATGACGAGCACAGTGATGGAGAACTTGGGCGATCTTACCACTTGAATACGGCGTCCGGCTTGTTTGGAGGCTTTGCGAGGAGTTGATCGTAGTCGAAGACCATGCCATCGCCCAGGAGTTGCTGTGAAATCGAGGCGGCTCTCCGCTGGTAGATGTTTCCTTTGAGAGAGGGATTGTATCTGGAAGAGGAGATGGATCACTCATCGATCTATCATCTATCGATAAGAATAAACGAAAGTTCTTACTTGGAAGGAAGCATGATGTTGATGATCGAGAAGCTCTCCACTGGCTTGGAGTAATCCGCGGACATGTCGCAGAAATCCCGCCCTTCCACGCGAATCTCACGCCTCAGGAACGCCATGAATTCACGCTCGAGCTGCGCGATCTCATCCTCCGCCAAGACTCCCTAATCCGGAGAGAGATCAATCCATCGAATCGATCGAATGGAGCTCTTACCTGGAGATGCACGTAGCCATCGCGGTGAAATGCCGCGATTTCTTCCTCGCTAACGCGGTAAGAATCCCCTTGGCGCCTTTCCCACGCAATGCCATCATTTTCTTGAGGAACCCTAGCCATGGAGGTTTAGGGCTCTTCGATTTCCTTGTATTCCAGAATGGAAGCGGGCGTTCCAAGCGCCAAGAAAGCCCGGCGGCTTCCCGAGGTCCTCCTCCCAACAGTGCCATCGCAATCCATGGTAGGTCTCGTGAAATCCAAGCAGCAGCAGCAGCAGCTACCGATGATCCAGCCCTTCCAATTCCAGCCGCCGCCGCCGCAAGAACGCAAGCGATCGATGCTCACGCCGGCGCCTCCTCAGGGAGCCCCGATCTATCACTTCTACCAGCACCAAATCCAGCAGCAGCAGCAGCAGCAGCTCCATCGAATTCCCTCCCAGAATCTCCAGCAGCCTCCCGTTCCAAGACGAATCCACAAAAGAATCGAAGAGTTCCACGACGACAGAGAGCCGCCCTCGAATCCTCCATGGGCCACCGCCCCCGCCGCGATGCCTCTCCCGGTATCTCTCACCATGCCGCTCCATGCGCTCTCGCCAACGAGCTACGCGGCCGCCATAGCTTCCCCGCCACCTCCTCCAAACGCTGGCCCGGTACGACGAGTGGGATCAAAGCGAGCTCCAGCGCCAGCGACGGAAGATTGGAGATTTGCCAATGGTGGCGGTATGAATTTCATGGCAGGGCCGCCGCCACCGCCGCCACCTCCGCCAGGAGCTCTCGCTAGCGGTCCTGGAGGATTCTTGGTATCGCCGGCTAGCTTTGCGGGACCGGTTAGCGTGTCCGTGGCTGGAGGGGCGTCGCAAAGGATGTCTTCCACACCAAGTCCTCGGCTCTCTCCCGTGACTACTACGAGCACTGCCAATCCTGCTAGAGGTAAACAATGTGTTCTAGCGCTCCAAAGTTTTATTCCTTGGTGTTCTAACGTTTCTTTTTCCAGCTGCTGCGATTGAGAAGAGAAGATCCAAGCTCAAACAAGTGTCCGCTGCTTACCACCTGGAGTTGGAGTCTCAGTGCCAAAAACTACTGCTCCTCCAGCGCGAGTGCCGAGATGTAAGTTAGTCTCTTTCAAGACTCCATTGTGTTGTTGTGATCTAACTCCAAGATGGCCAGAGCGATTGTACTGCTGCTGCTGCTGCTCGAGATGTTTCGGGTATCGCAGTGTGAGTGAACGACGAGCTTCCGGGTTTCTAGATTTTCTACTTCCCCCACATCACCGCGTCAATCTCGTCTCGGGCGTTTTTGTACAGCTCCAAGCGCTTTGCCAGTGCGACTCTCCGCTCCATCAATGCGGGGTCTTCGTCGAGCATTTGGAGGAGCTGCTTCTCCTGTGCCATTAAAGAGGGTGTCACGATCGGCCGGCCAATAAAGCGATCTACACGACGTGTTACCTCTTTTTTGCCAACTTGAGTATAGAAAGTATCCAGCAATGTGCGCTTGGCTTCACGCACTTGACAGTGTACTACTGCCTTTGGAATGGAATGCCGCAAGGTTTCACATACGATCATAATGTAAGAGGTTACGTGAGACCCTGGAAAGATAGAACTGGTAAGCTTTTGAGACCAGAGAAAACGGCAAAGAGAACTCTACCAATCTTGCGGAGATGAGCTTCGGTGTAGCGATCAGCAGTCGGGGCGGAGGGATTCCCTCCCTTTTCCAGCTCTGGTGGAAGCTTGCGAAAGTACTCCACAGTCAAGTAGCTGGCTTCCATGTCCACCAGTCTGAGGACAAACTTTCGGCTCTCGTCCCGGAATCTTTCTAGTGCCTCGGTCGTGGCAGCAGCTAACTCGGCTTGGAGCGTTGGAAAACGCTTCAGTTCCTGAGATAAAAAAACTGACAGTGATGCAGAGCTGAAAGAGTACTTACTTGAGTTTCCGCAATTGCTTTCCTTACGAGCTCTTTCAACACGGAATGTACCTGCACGAGATTTATCAGTTAAGATCCAGCATGAAGTTTTGGCATACCGCATCCACAACCGCCTCTGCTGGCCCTCTGAAAAGGCCCAGTGTCCCTTCGATAAGGCGTCTATATCCTTGTTCCGGAGCGATCAGGTGTGGCTGGTATCCATCGGCCTCCGTTACAATCTTTCTCACGTTTTGCATGGATAGATGCTTGTCGACTGGTAGTTTCTTGAGAGCGGCAGGAAGTTGATTGTCAAACACGACATAGATGCGCTCACCGCCAGGCCTTCTGCAAGGATCTGTAAGAATAACTGACTTTTGTAAAAATAATATTACCCTCCATCCAAGTGAGCTTTGAAAACGTGATCGAAGGCGCGGCAAAGCTCCAAAATCGTGTACAGTTGCGCCTGAAAGAGATAATAGCCGAGTAAGAACTTACGCATGAGCAAACACGGTGGAACCATACTCCGGCATCGTGGGAGATCGGCCGCCCGAGCTGATTCAGTTCCTGTTCTAGTTCATCAATACTCTTGTTTATCAACGCCAGAATGCTCGGCAGGCGAGTTTTGATCACAGTTTCAAGGTGCTGCGACAAGTAAAAACAATGTCAGAAGTCAGTTGCACATGACACGAAAACCGCACCTTGGAGAGCATTTTTGCTAAATACTCCGATCCCATACGGTTTGCCAAGTGTCCATAGTCAGGGCTGCTTGCAAAAAACTCGCGTTCCTTTTTTCGCGCTGCTATCATGTCCACGCTTTTGTTAATATCGGCTTGCGAACGATTGACAACGCCAACCCACTGAAACTGTAAACGATACGCACGACCTTCCAGAACCTGCGAGAAGCACGATATTCTCCGATTATCCCAAGTAAAGAAAATCGATAACCTCGAGAGCGTTTGTACCCTTGTCCATGAGGTCAAGTTTTGTCAGCACTCCAAAAGTTCGTTCGCCTGTCTAACAGATTTGTGGCATTCACAACTAAATACGAGAGCATGAACTCATACCTGTTGGATCAACTTCTTTCGCCAGTTTCATGGCATCAGAAGTAGCAATGTCTTGGTTTGCTGGAGAGATGGCTAGAATGATGCTGTTTTGCTGTACGACTGTCTCAAGTAAACAATTTGGAAAGTCAGTGAACACTAGCATACCTTTTCGACATAAGATCGGACCATATTTTCAATGTCTGCCACTATGCTATCCGGTTGACCCTCTGTAGCGAAAAAACACGTATAAGAAGGCACATCATCTTAGAAAAAGAAATGCACTTGCCGACAGCAATTTTAGTCAATCCGGGCAAATCAATGAGAGTCAGGTTGACAACTGAATAGACAAACCACGGCATTGAAAACTTCACAGGATGAGAAAGACAAGTACCATTTGGAGAGTAGATGCTCAAATGAATAGGTACTGGTGATATTTGCTTCGTATGGCCAGTCATTCTGTCAGTCTCATCCTCGATCTCCTTCCTCACAAGTGCTGCCAGGGAACTAAAATAAGGAAATAAATTTCCAAAAGCTTGTTTGGAAGATTGGAAACTTACAAAAGTCCGAGAACTTGGTCTTCGGGTTATGCAGAAACTCCGCATACTCCTGGCCACCCTCTGTTTTGTGGAGCTGGAGCACCAAAGGCCTCCTGGTAACAATGCCTACGTAGCAAACGCTGATAAGATCCAGATTCTTTGTGGTTCTTTGCTTTTTCTTGTGATTACCTGATCCTCTGGGAAGAAAGTCGCGGCCGACGACGCTTTCCAGCACAGATGATTTGCCCGAGCTCTGATTGCTGTCAAGATTCAGAAGAAAGAGATAAAAAGAAGCCCTGGCATTTACCTGACCTCCAACAACAGCCACGGACGGGAGCGATTCCCACAGCGTCGGCATGGAGTGATCGCCTCCATAATCTCCGAGCACAGTGCACGCCCTCTGGATCTTGTTCACGAGCCCGATCAAGCTCTCCATCGCGCAAACAAGAATGCCCCAAAAATCACATGAGCCCTAAATTTCAAAAAGCGAGGGAAAAAGTAGCCTTTTAAAAAAGACACCACTGCCACGTGGCGCTCTCTCTATCGTTGGAGTTGCCCTCACAACAGGCATTAAAAGTTTGTCAATGGCGTCCCAGGAGATCGCCAGGGAATTCCCCGATGGAGTGTTCTTCGTGGATCGATCCTTTGCTCGCAAATCGATGCCCAAATTCCTGAGAGTTCCAGCAAATCCCAGCGCCAGTCCAATCGCCTCAAGGGACGCGGTGATCGACGAGGAGCACGGCATTTGGGCGAGGATCTTTCTCCCCACCGATCAAGCCCAAGGTAAGGGCGAGGGCGATTCTTCCAAGCTCCCAGTAGTGCTTTTCTTCCACGGCGGGGGATTCGTGACCTTGTCCGCCGATTTCTGCGTCTTCCATGTCCTCTGCTCGAGCATCGCCGAGAAACTGGGAGCCCTCGTGATTGGCGTGAACTACAGGCTAGCTCCCGAGAATCGGCTCCCGGCAGCATACGAGGATGGATTCGCGGCGCTCAAGTGGCTCGCGGACGAGCAGGGTGGGCGCAGAGATCCATGGCTCGCTTCCCATGCCGATCTGTCCAAGATCCTGGTGATGGGCGATAGCGCCGGGGGAAATCTCGCGCACCATGTCACAGTGCGAGCAGCAGTGGAGGATTTGGGCGAGATGCGGATCATGGGACAGGTCTTGATCCAGCCATTCTTTGGCGGGATTGCTCGGTTCCCATCCGAGACCAAGCCCCAACCGCCCAATTCGACGCTCACGACGGATCTGAGCGATCAATTGTGGGAGCTCGCGCTGCCAATCGGAGCGAGCAGGGATCACCCGTACTGCCATGTCGTTGCGCCGGATCTCAAAGCCCAGCTGCGCGAAATCGAAGCTCTGCCCAAGGCCTTGGTCGTCGCTGGCAGCGAGGACGTTCTGTGCGATCGCGTGGTGGAATTCGCGGAGGTGATGCGAGAGTGTGGAAAGGATCTTGAGCTCCTGGTCGTCGAGAATGCCGGTCACGCCTTCTACATTGTTCCAGAGTCCGAGAAAACCGCCCAGCTTCTCGAGAAAATATCTGCATTCGTCCATGGTTTAATCCCAAAGATTAATTCCAAGGTTTAGAAATTGGCTGGCATAAGCAATCTCACCGTATTCCATCTCCTCAAGGTCCACGCGCCATGGTATCGCCGTCTTTAAAGAAAAGTATCCCTATAAGTCCGTGATATCGCCGTCTTTAAAAAAAAGTATCCCTATAGCATCTTTTAACAATGGCGCCCAAAGTTGCTATGGAATTCCCGGATGGAGTGTTCTTCGCTGATCGATCCTTTGCTCGTAGATCCATGCCAAAATCTCTCTGCGTCGAGGCAAATCCCGGCGCCCATCCAATCGCCTCGCGAGACGTGATCATCGACGAGGAGCGCGGCCTCTGGGCGAGGATCTTCCTCCCTGCCGATCAAGTGATCCACCACTCCAGGCAAGTTCCAGTAGCGTTCTACTTCCATGGCGGCGGATTCGTGTGCTTCACCGCCGATACCATGGAGTACCACGTCCTCTGCGAGCTCCTCGCCAAGAAAATGGGCGCGATCGTGATCTCGGTCAACTATCGGCTAGCTCCCGAGAATCGGCTCCCCGCGGCGTACCACGATGGATTCGCGGCGCTCAAGTGGCTCGCTCAAGAGCAAGGAGGGCGCAAGGATCCTTGGCTTGCCGCTCACGCCGATCTCTCCAAGACCTTGCTCGTGGGCGACAGCTCTGGCGCGAATCTCGTCCACCATGTGCTCCCGATGCTTGCGGCGGCCGAGGATCCGGCCATGAGCGATATCCAGGTCGTGGGCACCGTCCTGATCCAGCCTTTCTTTGGCGGCGTCGCTCGGGTTCCATCCGAGACCAAGCACCGGTCGCCCACTCCGCTAATCAGCACGGATATGTGCGATCGATTCTGGGAGCTCGCGTTGCCGATTGGGGCCGACAGAGATCATCCCTACTGCCGCGTAGCAGCGCCAGATCACCCCCTGCCCAAGACCCTCATCGTCGCGGGCGGCGAGGACGTGCTCTGCGATCGAGCAAAGGAATTCATGGAGACAATGGGAGGTTCTAGCAAGGATCTCGAGCTCCTGGTGATCGAGAACGCTGCACACGCCTTCTACATCGCTCTGGAATCCCAGGAAACGGCTCACTTCCTCGACAAGGTAGCTACATTCGCCCAAGGTATATTCGCTTAGCCCTAAAAGTATTATCTGTCCGTACATAAAATAAAGCTTTATCCGTACTGCAAGTTCACGCATCTAGTCGTGTAAGAACGAGGAATCCATGAGTTTGGACGTGCTCTCCGTACTACCGTTCAAGTAGAATGCGTGATCACAGCTCTCAAACTCAACAAGCTTGACATTTTTGCCACACTCGCGGAGAATCCCGGAGTACTCCACGCCGTGATCGCGAAGAACATCCAGCCCTCCCACAACGACAAGCGTCCGGGGCAGGAGGATCCCCGCAAGATCGCCCCTTGCCACCGCGATGTTGCAGAAAGGATGATCTCTGCTCGCCCCAATCGGCAGAGCCAGCTCCCAGAACCGATCCATCATCAGCGTGCTGGGCGAGACCTTGCTTGGATCGTCGCGCAGCATCCCCGACGGCTTCCTCGCCACGCTCGCGAAAGTGGGCTGGATCAACACGCGGCCCACGATTCGCACGGGTCCCAGATCGCCCCAGCTCGCAGGAGCGGCCGCCCGGACGCTCAAATGTTGCGCGAGATTGGCACCAGAGCTATCCCCCACCAAGAACACGCTGGAGAGATCGGCATGGGCCGCGAGCCATGGGTCGCTGAGCCCTCCCTGATCTTGTCCCAGCCACTTGAGCGCCGCAAATCCATCCTCGTACGCCACTGGGAGGCGATTCTCGGGCGCTAGTCGGTATTCCACGGAGACGACGAGCACTCCCAGCCACCTGGAAATCTCCTCGCAGAAGTCATGAAAACCAAAGAAGCTAGCGCTCATCGCGACGAAGCCACCGCCATGGAAGTACATCAGCACTGGGGATTTTAGGGCATTTGGATCCACGCATTCGCCTTTGAGCCGCTTGGGCAGGAAGATCCTCGCCCACAGGCCGAGGCCATCGTCGATGGTCACATCCCTGGAAACAATCGAACTAGATGAATCCGATCTCGCTGAAACAGGATGACGGATAGCCTGGCGCGAGAAAGATCCATCCGCGTGAAGTGTCGCGCCTGGAAGAACAAGATCGCGAGCCACATTCTCCGCCATAGCCAGAGCTTCAAACCCTAGCCGCCAAAGAGTAGAATTTAAATCTGCCACGTATGATACACACGTGGCATACCACGTCAGCTTTTGAGAGGTTTAAATACATGGGGCAGAAGAGAGGAGCACCATGGAATTCCATGCGAGTTTTCTCGTGCTGCTGGCGGCGGGGAGTGGAATCTTTGGGGGATTCTTGGGCGCATCTTCGGCCTGTGTGTTTCCTGCCATTTTCAACTTTGGAGATTCCACCTCCGATACCGGAGGAATCCAGACGGCATTCCCGACTTTCAGCCAATCCGAGTTCCCACCCTATGGCATGACGTTTCCCGGGAGGCCATTCCTGAGATACAGCGATGGCCGCCTTGGAATCGATTTCATAAGTGAAGTGTTTCACTATACAAGCTTGAATTGCACTGAGTTCTTCTTTGTTGTTTCACTGCAATAGCTGAAGCTCTAGGAATTCCATATCTAAGTTCCTTCTTCCAAGCGGTGGGATCCAACTTCACCACTGGCGTCAACTTCGCCACGGCTGGAGCGACGTCCCAAGCCGTGACTTACATCAGCCCTTTCTCGCTGAACGTCCAGCTCAACCAGTTTCGAGAGTTCAAGCAAAAAGTCCTTGTAACAGGCAAGGATATGAATCCCCGGATCTATTCCATTCCGTTCTCTCCAAGATTGATAGCTACATTGCCCGCTCATACATTCTTGATCAATCGTTATGTTCCCAGGGAACTCTCTCAACGCTCTTCCCGCCAGGGATGCCTTCTCTCGAGCGCTCTACATCGTCGACATTGGCGGGAACGACTTCAGCTATGGATACAACCGAAACATGAACTTCGACCAGCTCAAAGCATATATTTTCCGGGCAGTGGATGGAATCATCGCGCTTGTCAAGGTCGACGACATGGAAAACCTCTTACATATAGATTTCGCTGAAGATACCTTTTGTGTGTTTGCATTGAATCTACACAGGGCGTGTATGCCGAGGGAGGACGGACATTCCTAGTCTCGGACGTTGGGCCCCAGGGCTGCATCCCATATTTCCTCACAAACTTCCCAAATCTCCGGGTGAGCTACGATCAAGCTGGGTGCGCTATCGAATTCAACCAAGTCACCCAGCACTATAATGGCTTGCTCAAGCAGGCTTTGAGCAGCCTCCGTAGCCAGCTCCCAGGCAGCACTATAATCTACACGAACACTTATGACATCAAATATTCGCTTGCCCTCAAGGCTGCGAGCAATGGTAACACCACAAGAACATAAGCGGTCAACGAATCTCTGACCACGGTTGACTTTACAGGATTCCAGTTTGCCACCAAGGCCTGCTGTGGGATTGGAGGGAACTACAATTACAACTTTGCGGTGCAATGTGGGGAGAGCAAAGTGATGGCTGGGAAGACGGTGGCGTCAACGACTTGTAAGAATCCATCCGCGTATCTCAATTGGGATGGAGTTCACTACACCGAAGCAGCAAACCGGATCATCACGAGGCAAATCTTGAGTGGGAGCTTCTTCGACCCCAGTTTCCCCTTGGGCATGCTGTGCACACTCAAGAACATCTAATCATCTGTGGATTCATAAACTTTGACGAACATCGATCACTACAACCATTGTTCTTTTGGATCCAATCCAGCACCTATCAAGCACTATAGGTTGGAAGGGAATGCGCAGTGGAATGAGAAAAGGCTGCCTGATGACACCGCAAAGACAAAAGGAAGAAATGCCATCCTCGTGAATGGCTGCCAAACCTTGTGTACATCCAATCCCGTGAGCTCTGACAGCCAGTCAACTCGTCAGTCAACCAAGTCCACCTTATTCAACAATGGTCAACAGCGGTACAAAGCTAGCGATTTCGTCCAAGACAAGGACGGATTCCTGGCAGCTAGCGTCCCCCACGAGGTAGAATCCATGGGAAGAGTTTTCATACTCGATGAGCTTCACGGCATTGCCAGCGTCTTTCAAGATCTTTGCAAACTCTACCTGGCGATCGCGGAGGAGATCCTTGCCGCCCACCACCACTAGCGCTCTCGGCAGTCCCCTGGCCCCCAATCTCGCGAGATCTCCAGGCAATTCCAGCGTCGGGTTGCAAAATGGATGGTCGCGGTCGGCCGCGCCCTCGGGGAGCGTCGCCAGCCAGCAAAACTCGGTGGTGTCGAGCGTGAGCATCGGTTCGGAGGACCCGAGCCTGAGCTCCGAGTCGGTCCTGGACGTGCCTCCATAAAAGGGCTGGAGGAGGATCTGGCCGGTGAGTGGGATTCCATCCTGGTCAGCGCGCAATGCCACGCGGGCTGCGAGATTTCCCCCGGTCGCCCATGACGAAGATCTTGGAGAAATCCGCGTGAGCGAAAGCGTCTTGATCGCTGCTGCTCTTGGCGATCTGTCGGACCCAGTTGAGAACGTCGTAGCCATCGTCATAGGCCGCCGGGAGCCTGTGCTGTTGAGATTAGATGCTCAGGTCGATGCTTAGCTAGGCAGTTAGGATGATGTGGCATTAGGCAGTTGCCACAGCCCATGTATATATAGCTTCATATATACAATATTTTTTTATCATGTGCTCCGGAGCTAGGCGGTAATTCACAGACACGACGATCGCTTCCAGCTTCCTGGACATGGCCTCGCAAAACTGTGAAAGATCGCATTCGCGGCGCTCACGTAGATGAATCCTCCCCCGTGGTAGAAGATCACGATGGGCAGCGTGCTGCGATTCTCCAGCTCTTCCGGACGGAAAACTCTCACCCAAATTCCCCGATCCTTGTCGAGAATCACGTCGCGGCTCGCCACGCCGTCTTGGCGGGAACCTCCGCAAAGAACCCCGCAGGGCCTGTTGGTGGAGGAGCGCGCACGCAAGATCCATCCTCTACAAACACAAAGCCTCCAATTTGCTTGCGCTCCTCGTCGCCCATTCTTTCGGTGCTAGGTGGGTGGCCTTCCGGTCTCATAACGACACATTTAAATCGTTGAAATGGCCAAGAGCCGGTTTGCGGAAATTCTAAACCTTTCCTTTTCGTTTCTATGCTGGTATAAAAAAATTCAAATTAAAAGCTCTCTAAGCATTTTATAGGTCTCTTTAATTTAATTAATACTACATACATTAATCTTTTTAACTAAACTATTTACTGCTTAGGGCTCGATAATTTAAATTAATACCGTAACTATAAAGCTCCGATATGGTGGCACAACTCAGGAGAAAGCTCTTGGATGAGTCTGTGATTTTGGGTCAAGTTCTCGACAATGTGCAGTGGCAGTACTCGGCCTTATACGGCGTTGTGGACGTCGCTCTGTGCAGGTTAGAACACAGGATCCAGCGGGTGTGGAGCAATGCCTGCAATCAGGCCAATGTGAGTGAATATGCCGCCACCAAAGCCATTGTCCGCGAGAGGCCGTCATACCTAAGCGACGACAACTTGTGCTACTACGGTATTTGGGACGACGACCTCACGTACACCAACGTTTGCCTTTGCATCGACAGCTAACAAGAGGAGGCCGACATCGATAGAGGCAGTCCAGGAAGAGCTCCAGCAGCAGCAGCAGCAGGAGATGCCGTTGCTTAGCTCGCCTCTGATCAAGTACATCAGGGCCAAGCCCAGCATACCCCGTGAGATCCGAGGGCGTGGCCCGGGATCGCGAAAGTTTCGGCAAGAGCTGGTTTCTTGGGTGGAGCGGGACCTGTTCGGTGGTGTTGGGTCGCTGGACATGCAGGCGCGGCTGGTGTTTGATGAGCGGATGCTGGCGCACGAGTGGCAGGCGCTGTTCGGTTTCAGGTACTGCAAGTATGAACAGCCGGTGGACAAGGACCTGAGCACGCCTGATGTTGTTTTCGATGAAACGTGTGGTTCTTTTGATCACGAGAAGTATGACGAACTTGTCGAGCATCTGGAAGCGGGAAAGATTATCGCGGTGTGTGGTGGCTTCAACAAGCTTTCCGCTTGGCCGGGGAATGCGTGCGTGGATCTCTTCAACTTTCAAGTGGGGGCGTGGAGGAGCTCATCAAGTGGTACGGTGGGCTCAGATTCAAGGTGAATCCGAAGAGAAGACGAGCATATGACCGCAACACCGAATGAACACAAGTCTTGGTTGGATAGATGGACTTTTGGTAATAGAGTTTGTGTAGCTTACCTCTTCCTATATGAGATTCATGAGTGATCTTGGACGAAAATATACAACACATACACACACACACACATGGAGCATGATGTCAGCCTTGGTTTACATTCACAAGCAGCGGTTGCTGGCCAGAGAGAAGCTACGAGAAGAAACCTAGGGAGGCGATCGAGCACTCACTATGAAGTAGCTCATTGAAGAAACTTTCATGGCTGATGAAGCATCTTCTGGAAAGTCTCTAAGCCTTCTCGACTTCTAGCAAGCCTTGGATCTCTGGGACAGTGGAAATGTTGATCCCGCAAAGACCAGTAGAACGTTTGCTGGTGATGTGATCGTCACCGCGTGGTTGAGGTTGGTTTGTTACCACGAAAAAACCCCTCTTGTCAGTGAAAAACCCATTGTTGCCTTTGTTAAAATGCTTACTTTGCCAAGTTGATGGACTCGAGGCTTGTGCTCGTCCAGAAGATCTACAAGTTTTTTGGGCTCACACTATGCTGAGTTTGATTTTCCACAAAGAGCATTCTATGTTGCCAAATCTTTTATCTTAGCACCATTGTCAAGATCTCTTTTGCTTCACCCTCCAGAGTGCACTTCTCAAATTAGTAAGCCATTGGTTCTCAACAATGCAAATGCTAGACAGATGTTAAGTATGCTTCCACATTGCACTATTCAAATTTGGTCGAGCTTTGGCTCTCTTAACAAGGCCAACTCCTACTTTCTTGCGTGACCAGAAATGTTTTGCTGAACGAGGAACGTCCCCTATGCCACTTAGATCTAGCCCATCATCTTGTCCATGTCAGTGTCAGAGCTTGGATTACATAACAACAGATTTCTCTAGTCCCTAGCTCCTTTTCCTCTGCCACCATCATCACCACAACAGTGAGTGCTCAATCGCCTCCCCAGGT